AGAAAGCTGCTCGGAAAAGGTGAGGAGAATAAAAGGTTAATAGAATCAGTGTGAAGGAAAAATGTTTAGTCTTCGCTTGAAAGCAGACGGTCTAATTAACGAACTAATTTAAATTTATTTCCTGAAGGTGATAAACAATGCTGTTTCCCATCTCTGACGATGGATTCCTGTAAGAGTCCGAAAACTCAGAATAACAAACAAATAGCTCCGGTGTTCGACTATCCTTCTTTACCGGTACATGTGGGTGTGTCAAGTACACGAACCGCCAAACACGTTCAAAATTAAATTGGTACTTACAAAATATACGTAGAATTGTTTTTACAAATAAGTACAGTCCGGATATGGCGTGGCATTGGTTCAGGTTCAGGAGTATCCAGTTGCTCAACTGAAGCACTGAATCATTCTTTATCAGAACATTTTTTGAATAGACAGTAGATAGGATCCAGACGCCACCCTCATGTTTTATCCTGCTACTTCTTTCCGCCAGGTCAGCAATGTACTTCAAAAGACGGATCCGGACGATCAAATTTGGACCGATGTGGGTGCGCTATCAACGGTTCGCGAGGCGAACGGTGTTGTTGTCCTTCCGAGCCCTTTTCATTCTCACACTGTAAAATTGACTGCAAATACAGCATTCAGCAAGAACGAATTTTCTGCCGTCTTCAAACTTTAGACAATCTCCTGTCGCCTCGGACCATATAGTCCACTGTTTTACAGGAGGTCTATCACCGCATTTATTGAAAGTGCTAAATTGGTGTAGGTCACCTGCGTTTCAAGTCTGAAGGGTTCAGTCATAAGGCTTTTTATGCACAAACGATCTTTTTGGCCTTTGCTATAAAGAAAACCCTTTATCGATAGCCTCACTTGGTTTAAAAGCACCATCTTACAGAAGGGGAAAGAATAGTTTTAAAAATAACCATAATAGGAAAACAACATATTCTGTTGCTAATGTCTCATGTTCATCGTGAGGATATGTGGGAATGTTTTTTGAGCTGACACAACACTAGAATGGGTTAAATAGTGCACAGGGAACTGGGACTCATGATGATCAAAATGAGAATCTGATTCCGCTCCAATGTCCTGAAAATCAATTAGGGGTGTGACCGATTAGCTTAATTTAGTTGACCGAGTTGTGAGTTTTTTCACAGTTGGGTCAATTAAAGTTACCAAATCTGCCAAACGAATTTAATAATTAAGTCAGCTTAGTAGTCTTTCTGGTGGATTCTAGATTTAGGAAATCCTGCTTGGGCAGTCAGCTTGCTGTTCCGTATTGGTGGATTCCTTACAAACGGTAAAGTTGGGCGGGAAACATCGATCAAAGGGTGATTAAATTCACGACGCATGGCGTGGCGTCGTAGTTCAAATCGGTAGAGCGTTGGCTCTGCGCAAAGGCCTATCTGTTGTCCGGGTTCGAGTCCCACCGACACCGCGAGTTCTTTCCCACAATTGGGTCAACTAAAATAAAGTCTTGAAAATCGATCGCAATGCCCTTAGAGTAGAAGCCCTCAGACAGACGTGTTCACAAACCCAACTCCGCTTAGATGCATATGTACTCACTCTCTCTCTATCTCTGACAATGTTATTGCCTCTGCTGTATGATCGCTTTTGAATGACAGCGTCCAGCTGCCTCGGTCCACCTCAGAGACCTGCATCATTCACTCTACTTATCACAATCATTCCGAATAGACAGAGATCAGTTCATCCGCGTATTGGCCGAAACACACACCCGAACAATGTGGTCTGTATCCTGATTGGATTATCCTAACCTTCGAACCGACCGCTGCCATATCTATGTTTGTTAAATAAACACTCAACAAGCCATAACTAACAGACCTATTCTTGAGGCGAAATATTCTTAATAAGGAACATTGGTACCTTTAAGGTACAGTTATTATGTACCATATTTTGTTAGTATTTCACCCCTGAAGTCAGTTTTTCATTACTTAAAACGAACTCGCTGTGTTGCACATTATTGACCAAGTATAAAACCAAACAAAAACAACACTGACTGCAAAAGAAGTTCATTTCAAGTTTTTTCCTGTCTCTCCGGGCTTTTGACGGTGCCCAAGATGTGCTTTACGAATAAATTTTATTATTTACTCAGACCTCAAACAAGAAGAATCTGTTAGAAGGCAAAAATGCAGCACTTCTAGAATTTAATCGAGTGCAAATCGTAGCTGTGCATAGAGGCTTTTGCGAGAACCCCTTTTTATGTGTGCAACGTTTTTGGCTGGACAGTCCCAAAGAGCAAAAGGTGAGCGTTAGTAGTCCAAAGAGGTTATCGTTGTGAGTGGCATCCTGCAGAACAGGATAGCAGATAGTACTTTACTGTTACAGTAGTCGCCGGCTATTAAGCCCACCTCGGGCCCAGACCAAATTGAGCTTAATAAGCGACGGGCGCAATAGCCGGAGAGTCCTAGTTCTCGATTTTCAAACGCAGGATAGGAACTATACATTACATACGTACTGTATTATGTGTAGACCTTGGTTATGTACAGGAAAAAACGCTGTATGTCTGTATTTTACGTAATAACAAAAGCAAGGAAAAGAATGCTGTTTGTCTGTATTTTACGCAATAACAAAAACAAAAAAATTTAAAAAAGCGGTCTAGTGTCAGTTGTTTTGGAGGAAACTTCACTCGCAAGTGTTCTTTGGTGTCTCCAGGCACCAGAAATCGTCGAATTTTGTGAAACCTGATGCCTGTAGACCACGTTGCACACGCAGAGAGATGAGAATCTCACTCTATCCTGTTGGCAAACTGG